CCGCCCCCCCGTTTTTAGGGGAACGAGAAGTGACATAAACATAAAAACTCGGAGGTCCGCGCGGATTTCTCGGATCGGCGCTGGACCCCCCTCCCTGGCGCGCGGAGCGCGCCAGGGGCGGCGCAGGAGGCGCCGCCGGGGGGCCCTAGCGCCGATCCGAGAAATCCGCGCGGACCTCCGAGTTTTTATGTTTATGTCACTTTTCGGTCCCCCCAGTTCTGTTTTTTCTCATCTGCCTCGCGATGCTTGCAGCTGCGTGCCGACAAGACGCCGAAAGAAGGGCCACTCGGCTCGGACGGGGCGTTTGGTCTTCGGGCCGCTCCCGACGCCCAGGGCGGGGAACCTGCTCGTGGCCGAGAACCGCCGTGACTCGAGCGGCCCCTCCGTTTTGCTTGAGCGATCCACCACCACTGGTTGGAGTGGGAGGGGGTCCTCCTCCTCCTCCTCCTCCTCCTCCTCCTCCTCCTCCTCCTCCTCCTAGTTGACGTTGCGAACTTCGATAGCTAGGATCGTGGCGTAACGTGGCGTAAACCTCGCATGGTTGGGTCCCTCGCCAGGCTGACTGCCGTAGACGCGCTAAGGGCGATGTGGACAACGGCGACGTAGGATTCGGCATTGTGGGACCGCGTGGCTCGCGGATTTTCCTGCACTTGGCTGTGCCGTGCTCGCTCGCTCCGTTCGCAGATGGGAGGTGTAGGAAAGTGTAGTTCTTGATTTCCTACACCTTGGTTCCCAGCATCACCGTTCAGCAACATCGCCGTGAGCCCGGCCTTGGAATTGTCCGCAGGCAAGCCTTCCATCGTCCACGAAGTAGCTCAGGGCACTCGCCCCGCTCGCTCTGTCGCCCTCGCTCGGCTCTGCTCGGCGGCGAGAGTGCTGCCGCGCCGAGCACAACTCTCAGTGCCTGTGGGTCTGCATCGGTTTGCGTGCTCGAGTTCCGTGCGCATGGAGGGCCAGGACCAGTTTTATTTGCGCTGGAGGAGGAGGAGAGGTGCCCAAACCTCTACGCTTCCCTCATTTCCCCCTTTTTGGCCTCCTGGGAGGCCCGTGTCGCCACCGCTGGATTCGCCTCGAAGTCCTGGTCAGAACGCACCTTGGAAGAGGTCCGACGAGTAGCGGTATCGGTACCTTGTGGTTTCCCCATTGCGACGGACTCGTGCCGTGGGAGGGAGACCCCCCACAATATTGTAGAGGCCTCCGGCCTGTGCCGACGATCCGGGACTCTCTGTGCGAACTCGTCCTATTTCATGTTTTGTGAGCTTTACCTCGAGGAGGCAAAAGAGAGGATGAGGATGAGGAGGAGGAGGATGATTAGGATGAGGAGGAGGACGAGGACGAGGACGAGGAGGATGAGGAGGAGGAGGAGGAGGAGGAGGAGGACGAGGAGGAGGAGGAGGAGGACGATGAGGAGGAGAGAAGAGGGGGGAGGAGGAGGACGAGGAGGAGGAGGAGGAGGAGAAGGCGTGGAGGGGGAAAAGGAGGAGGAGGCGGAGGAGGAGTGAGGAGGAGGAGGAGGAGGAGGAGGAGAAGGAGGACGAGGGTGTTGGCAGTCACCTTAGGCAGTACGTATTGAATCGAATGTTTGTCTCGTGTCCATCTGTCGAGCTTGTTGGCGGGTTAGTTCCCGCACGGGTTGGCTCGGTGGTGGGTGGTTGGGCGGAACCTAGCGTGAATAGTTCATCGTATGATGCTCCTTCTCGTCGTTTCTATCTTCTCTTATCTGGTGGCCTTCAGCCCACCTCGCCAGAGAACAAGGGTTGTGGGTTCGAGGCTTTTTAGAGGTTTGTTGGGATATCGTGGGGAACTTCTGGGGGGGCATCTTGAAGGCATTTGTCAAGCCTCTTGAGGGCCGTTTCGGAGCCTCTTTTTGGGCCTTTTTGGAGCCTATTGGGACCTCTCAGGGCCTCTTGGGGCTTTTTGGGGGAAGGCTCGAATCATCGGTTCATGTTCCCCCTCTTGGGGCCGTCCTGGGGCCCTCATGTGCCGTCTTGGGCGCCTCTTGGACTGTTTCCAGGCCCTCTTGAGCCGTCTTGGAGCCCTCTTGGGGGCCGCTTGTGTTATCCAAGAATGCTGTCTTGGGGACCTCTTGGGTCGTCTTGGAGTATGGGAAGCTCGAAAAGGCGGTAAATTCAAAAACAGACAAGACCCAAGGGAAATCAATGTGTTCTTGCCTCTTCGGGCCCTCTTGCGGGTCCTCGTGGGGGTCCTCTCGGAGCGCTTGGGGGGCCTCGTAGGGCCTCTTGGTCCGTCTTGGGGCCATCTTGGACGTGTAGGAGCTCTCTTGGGCCGTCTTGGCGGCCTTTGCGGCGTTGCCGCTCCCCCTTGGATCGTCGTCCCTCCTCACTTCCGCTCCCTCCACTCCCGCGCACTCCGCCTCCTTTTTTCCCTTCCCCTTTCTCCCCTCCGCGATTCTATCCCTGCCCCTCTCCCTCTCTCCCACTCTCCTCCTTCGCTTGTTTTGCCCTTTTAGCCCCCCCTGTCTGCCCTTACCCCCCTTTCCCCAATTCCCCCTCTCTCTTTTTGTCGCCCTCGCGCTCTCCCCCCCCCCTCCGTTTGCCCCCTCCCCCCTATCTTCGCGTTCCGTTCCCTCTGCTCCCGGATCCCTTTCCCCGCCCCCCCGCTCCTCCTTTTGTCCCCTCCCCCCCTTCCCCGCCCCCCCCCTCCCTCCCCTCCCCCCCTTACTTCCCCGCTCCCTTCCACCCTTGCACTGCCTTCCCCCCCCCTTCCCTCTTCTCCCCCATCCCTTCGCGTTCCTGTTCGGCCCCCCCCCCCCTGCTGTCTTGGTTGGATTCAGGCAACAGATGAGTAGGCGCATTCAACCCTTTCCGCCTTCCCTCGCCAAGCGCCCCACATCTTCCTCTGCGGCGCGGGAGCGGGCGCTGGAAATGGTATACCCCCCCTACCCGAGCGGTCCAGAGATGGTATAACCCCCCCCACCGATTCCCTGGCGGAGCCCCCCCGGCCCCCCCCGTCCCGAGCGGCCCCAGATGTGGTAGAACCCCCCCTTTCCCCAGCCAGCAGAGTCCCCCCCGCCCCCCCGCACCCCGCAGAGCTGAAGCTCAGGCTGTAGTTGTTTTTGACTCACACGCCTGATCGGCGGATTTTACGAGGGATCGATGACATGAGAGTGAGAAACGATTCTGCGAGGGATGCTTCGTTGGTGACGAGGGTTCTCAGTACATTACAGAGGATCTCAGGCGATTCTTGTTTCTTTTTAGGAGGAGTCGTGTCTCAGGGAGCTATAACCGATTGAATGTATAACAGGGGCTTCGGCCTTGGGATCCAGACCCGTATAATGACTTTACGAGGGACGGTGGTCCTACAGTGAGGATCGTCCATGTTGGAGGATTGCAGTCTTGGGGTCGAGACGAGGCTGTATATTTTCCGAGGTTGCGTTGTGAGTGGCCAGGAATCTCGAGGGACTCCCGAGGGTGGGCGAGGGGCCGTGGCGGGGCTTCGGAGACGGCAGGGGGGCGCAGTCGAAAAAGAGGTGAGAACAGTATTTGTTGGAAGACGAGATGGCGGCTCGCAGCCCGACGTCCCAACCTGGGGGCCCGTGGGGCATTTTTTTTTTTTTTTTCTCTCTCTCTCTCTCTCTCTCTGGGTGAGCAGTCTGGCGCGTCCCGCGCAGGACTCCAACTGAGGAGCAGCAGAGAGGAGCATGAACGGTTCAGAGAGCTCGCGTTTCTCCTCTTACCGCTGCGAAGGCGATCAGAGGGTGGTTCGCAC